TTAGGGAGGGTGCTGGGGTGGTCGGAGACAACAGCTTCACTGAAGCTGTCTCACCTCCCAACCCTCGTCATAAACACGGACTGCGGGAGTATATAGAATTATGTTGACCAGACCACACACTAGAAGGTGAAGAGACGACGACGTTTCGGTCCGTCCTGGACCATTCTCAAGTCGATCGACCACACACTAGAAGGTGAAGGGACGACGACGTTTCGGTCCGTCCTGGACCATTCTCAAGTCGATCGACCACACATTAGAAGGTGAAGGGACGACGACGTTTCGGTCCGTCCTGGACCATTCTCAAGTCGATCGACTTGAGAATGGTCCAGGATGGACCGAAACGTCGTCGTCGTCCCTTCACCTTCTAGTGTGTGGTCTGGTCAACATACTTCAGCCACGTTATTGTGACTCATCGCTTGTATATAGACTTATATTTATATAATCTTTGGTTTCGTTCACACGTCACCCAAGCCTCGTCAACAAAGGTCAAATGTTTATTCCATTCAGCCGGTTTATTCCAATAAACGCATTTGCCCGAAACGCAATGTGTATTAGTGGCTTTAGGTATTGTATGCACTAGCTCTATCTATTAATCCAACATTATGTTTGTAATTCTGCATTTATGTATGTACTTTTCCTGAATAAAATATTATTATTATTATTATTATTATTATTATTATTATTATTATTATTATTATTATTATTATTATTATTATTAAATTATATTAGGAACGTGCATTACTAAATTAGTTATGTTATGTTAGGTTATAATTGTATATGCGTATTATTTTACGCTTTAATAGGGTAGATGCGGGAAGCGTATCTTAGTAGGTGAAACTGCACAAGAACTTGTTTGTGAAAGCTTGTTCCCAATTTTATGTTCTTAACGTTGAAGAGCTTAAAAAACACCATCAAGATCCGACTAGCAAGCACTCACACACATACACACACACACACACACACACACACACACACACACACACACACACACACACACACACACACACACACACACACACACACACACACACACACACACACACACACACACACACATATTGGGACAAGGGGACACAGGTGGAAACTGAGTACCCACATGAGCCACAGGGACGTTAGAAAGAACTTTTTCTGTGTCAGACTAGTTAACAGGTGGAATGCATTAGGCAGTGATGTGGTGGAGGCTGACTCCATACACAGTTTCAAATGTAGATATGATAGAGCCCAGTAGGCTCAGGATGTCAATCCTAGAACCGATCAATTAGATATAGCAGTTGAGAGGCAGGACCAAAGAGCCAAAGCTCAACCCCCGCAATCACAACTAGATGAGTGTACACACACTCCTAAGGTGGGCCAGAGAGTATTTCTCAGGCAGAAAGCATGCTGAGATATCAAAGTGGAGAGAGATTACAAGTGAAGTACCACAAGGGTCGGCTCTAGGACCCATCCCGTTTCTAATATTCAGAGTGTGTCAATGACCTGACAGAGGAAATTGCGTCCTTCATATCAATTTTAGCAGATGATGCAAAACTAATGAGAAGAGTCAGGATATAGTTAGATTGTGATGCATTGCAAGAGGATTTAGACAATCCAGAAGTGGTCCGAAAAATGGCCCCCAGAATTTAACCCTGCCAAATGCAAAGTTATGAGGATTGGGACAGGAGTTCGTCCTACACAGCAGTATAGGATGATGGGAAGACAAATTCTTCAATCAGAAAAGGAGAAATACAGGGGAGTGAACATAACTCCATATATGATATCAGAAGCCCATATTAGCAGAATAACAACAGCTGGATATGGCATTCTGGCCAACATCCGGGTATCCTTTAGAAAATTTCGACAAACGAGCTTTCCGAGCCCTATATAAAACGAAGGTGACACCCACTCTTGAATATGTGTCCCCTGCATGGAACCCTTACCCGAAAAAGGACAAGGAAAACCTTGAAAAGGTCCACAGATATGTAACGAGACTCGTTCCGGAGCTGAGAGGATTGAGCTATGAGGAAAGACTGAGAAAACTGGACCTTACCACACGGGACGAAAGGAGAGATAACAACATATAATATTCAGAGGAAAAAGGACATGGTAACAACCTACACGATTCTGAAGGAAATTGACAAAGTAGACAAAGCAGCTGATGTAGACCTGGCCAAATGTAAACTGTGTCAACAAAATTATTCACACACCCTCCGTCACTATGTGATGGAGTGCGAAAAGATATGTGAATTTAGAGACAATTCTATAACAAATGTTCAAGAGATGTGTAAATATTTCATTCAAAATGATCAGTTACCAGAAATTTTAGCCAAATATCCTCAGTTTGCTAACTGTAGGTAGTAACTGAGTGATTGTAACCTATCCACCGTTGCCCACTGGATGGGGGGCGGTGTGCAGGACAAACCTATCAATTGTGACACTAGCTCTCCACATATGTCAGTTGCTGAATTTAGAAACTGTACTTGTGGTCGATCTCGAATCCGTTGATGATGTGACGACTTATACTGAATTTTGTAACTAGCTCATCAAGATTGTAACTTGCTTAGCTAAATGAATTGTGGGATTCAGTCCCTGAGCCCATTATGTGCCTCTGTAACCCTTTCCACTACCGCCCACAAGATGGGTATGGGGTGCATAACAAATTAACTAAACTAACTAAACTAAACATATCATAGCTCTTTATACTCGTGCTTTCTGGCCTTTGAGTGTCAGTAACTGCTCTTCTGACATCCCTAATTTCCTGAAATACTGTGGCTTTTACAAGAGATTGGAATGCCCATATCCAACTCAATTTCAGGCTTATCACATGCAGTTTGAATGGCCTTGGACCAGATTCACGAAGCAGTTACGCAAGTACTTACGAACGTGTACATCTTTCCTCAATCTTTGACGGCTTTGTTTACATTTATTAAACAGTTTACAAGCGTGAAAACTTCCCAATCAGCTGTTGTTATTGTTATAAGCAGCTTCCTGGTGCTTCGGAGCTCATTAACTGTTTAATAATTGTAAACAAAGCCGTCAAAATTGAGAAAAGATGTACAGGTTCGTAAGTACTTGCGTAACTGCTTTGTGAATCTGGCCCCTTGCCTGTGTCATCATGCTAGACAACATTTGTAAGATGGTATCCATACAAATAAGACTCTGAAACTCTTGCTCTGTGTATTAATAATGTTGGTTATAATAGATGTTACAACATTCCTTGTGTATTTATTTTGCATGTTGGGTTTCTAAATCCATGAAGAGCTGACTTTGAATCACATAAAATTACTCCTCCACTGTTTTTCAGTGCTCTAGTGGCCAGTTGTAGTGCAGCTAATTCTGCATGTGTGAAGCTAAGCTAGTTATTCAGTCTCACACTTGTGGTCTGTACATATATAGTCACTGTATATTATTTTTATTATTATTGAGAAAATCCGTAGGAGCCGTGATGAGGGTTCGAACACCTACGGATTTTCTCATTGACACATCACGTTAGTGTGATTACTCTTTGTGTATTATTATTATTATTATTATTATTATTTTTATTATTATTATTATTATATTCTACAGATTGCTGCAGTGTGACCTTTTGACATTTAAACAGACCCATCAGCGAAAGCATAGTTATTTATAAAAGGACTCAATGGTTTCAAGGGTTGGTGCTTTCAGGAGTGCTGTGTTTTCCTTCCTGGCTCTTTTTGCTGATGGGCGTGTAAGACACTTATATTTCAGGGTACAGATATAATGTAATATCTTTGGGATAATGAAATATATAATGTCATATACAGTGCATACAATTGGAATATTCAGTTTAATGAGATTCGCAAGACTTGTACTCAACCAGCTTGCATATTGGTTACCCGCTTGTACGCTGGCAACACTTTCCCGCCTACAAACAGCACTAGTCGGTTTTTATCATAGTAATATACTAATATGGCTGATGTTGTTAAACTTGTGCTGTAAATGAAGGCAATAGTGAGCAGCCGTGAACGGCAGCTAGCGCACAAGTACAAGAGCGTGTTACTTCTGATATCACTTTTGTTTATTATTATTACATATTCGGTGTTTATATTTAATACGTAATGTTAAATGCAAGTATAATTGTCATATAATATAATAGTTTAACTCAAAACCGGCAACGGTCTAGTGTTTTGTGCGTTCGATCATGTTTGTGGACACTTAGATGTGTTTGGTTTACGGTAGCCGGCGTTGTTCAGATTCAGATTCAGATTCAGATGTTTATTCAGGTAAGGTATATACATACAAGTGATGTTACATTAATGGATTGATATATAGATAGAGCTAGTACATACAATGCCTAAAGCCACTATTACGCAATGCGTTTCGGGCAAGAAAAACATTAATATCTAGAACTTAATACTAATTGAGCATAAAGAATAAAAGATGTTGAGAACAAATACAAATAAAGATAAAAAAAAAGGGGGAACATGACTGAAAAAGCAGCACAAATACAATAGGTTGACAAACAGTGTTGATTACAAAAAAGAAAAAAAAAAGAAAATAACAGACATGGGTTGACAATAGAGGAGTGAGGTAGATTACAGGGAATTTATTAGGTAGTGTTTAGTTTTTATCTTAAACTATGAAGCTATAAACTATAAACTATTTTATCTTGTTCTTATGAAGCCCAAATTGTCTGTCACATCACTGAACTTCACTTAATAACTATATGCCTGCTAAGTAGAATATTTTAGCTGTTATTAGCATTATATTGTACAATTAGGTATTACAATTATAGTGACTAATAAGTTGTATCCTACAAAACGTACAGATTTTGTGTGCGAAATGCTAAAAAATATATGTGTGCGAACCGTCTTCTATACTAACTGACTTGCATAACAAAATATAGTTGAACTTGGCAATGTCCGAATATGTTAATGGCTCTTGGACAAACTAAACACCTCCTCCTTGGAACTAACAAGCGAAAATCAATGAAACATATACATTAATCTGCGACACTTTATTTACTTATCACTCACCAATTCCAATAAGATAAGATGAGATACGACAAGGTAACGACAATAACAGGACGGAGGGAGAGGACTCGGACGCAGTCGCCGGTCAGCTGAGGACGGGAGGAGAAACAGCGTCATTATTTTTGTCTGAAATCTTTCTTGCTAATTTCTCTCATCTGTCTCAGCGAGATGGCTGCCGTAACTAGAGGTGAGGGACAGTGACACCCCAGGGTTGTGTATACACTACACAACACTATGTGGTGTATCCTAATTCTCGGCGTATGTATACTTGAGTTTACTGTAGTCCTAGAATGATTATCTTTAGATGATTTCGGGGCTTAGCGTCCCCGCGGTCCGGTCCTCGACCAGGCCTCCTTTTTCTTACCCACCAGGAAGCAGCCTGTAGCAGCTGTCTAACTCCCAAGTACCTGTTTACTGCTAGGTGGACAGGGACATCAGGGTGAAAGAAACTGCCCATTTGTTTCTGCCTCCACCGGGGATCAACCCAGGAACCTCAGGACTGCGATTCCGAAGCGCTGTCCACTCAGCCGTCAGGCCTCTTCCTAGGCCAGGACCACAGTATACAGTACTGTAACTTAAATTTAATAATTCGTTTTGTCCCGGGGGCAAACAGGCAGCCTTGGTATGTGTGTGTACTTCAGGCTAGTATCGAGGTCCTTCACCAAGGTCTTCTGTCGATTGATTGATTGAGTGATGAAGATTGAGCCACCCAAAAAGTGGCACGGGCATGAATAACCCGTAAGTGATGGCCCTTTGGAGCCATTACCAGTACCAATAGCTGATGCTGGAGATCTGTGGAGGTGCGACTGCGCCCTACAGAGAGGTCGTGACCTCTCGGTCTTCTCTCGATGGTACGTGCCGTTTTATACTACTGACCACCTCAACGATGCAATTGTACAACAGTTGCCTAACTCCCTGCTACCCATATATTGCTAGGTGAACAGGGGCACTATCTTGAGATTATCTTGAGATGATTTCGGGGCTTGGCATGAGATATACATAATAAGAATTTTTATGTTCAGAAGTCAAAATACAGTAGCACAAAAACAATGAAATTCTTCACAAAGAATTAAAGTGCGGTCATCACTAGGCGGGAGACACTGGTAAACTGAAGTGCTCCACGTGCTCGGTCGGCCCATACGAGTATCAACAAACTCGAGCACCAAGGCAAACCTCGAGTACCAAGTCAAATTTTTTTTAAGAAATTGAGCTCGAGAACCAAAAAATTTGAAAACCGAGGTTCCACTTCACTGTTTAAAATTAAATAAGATAAAATAAAGCATAGCATGTTGTTGATTTTTTATTTCTGATCTTGAATTTTTCTCACAGGTATCTTCATAGTGGGAGCCAAGCGTACACCATTTGGCACCTTTGGTGGGAAGCTGAGTAAACATACACCAACAGATTTGCAAGAAATAGCAGCTAAGGCAGCCTTAACTGCTGCTAATGTTAAACCAGAACTCATTGACTCTGTTGTTATTGGTAATGTCATCGGGGTAAGTTTAGTATTGCTGTAATGTGAACTAAAATAGTAATAAATTTGTGGATTTATAAGACACAGGCCTTGTGATTACCAAGGCCTTGGCCTTGTGATTTGCCAATGTGGTTGGAACACCACATTGGCAAACGACCTTATTGTAGATATATTCATTGCCTTCTGGGGATGTAGTTATACACAGTAGACACTTCAGTAGTTTTATTGAGTGAGGCAACAAGGTGTATAACTGGCCAGCCGAGGTCCTACCTACTCTGGGTCTGTGAGAATACTGAGGCCTGCTGGAAGCACGGCTGGTGCCGCTCTGTCTGGCATGACGTAATTTCAACAAATCTTTGCAGTTCTTCCCATACTTCACACATTTTCTTAATGAGGAAGGGACATCCTCTACTGCCTCTACTCACAACTATTTTCTAGATTGAACCTTACCACTGACCTTCTTGGGACTCATGGCAAGATATATAATAATTACTTATATGTTCAAATACCCAAAAATCGGAAAAACACTGAAATTCTTTACAAAGAATTCAGGCTCGATTGTCACTAGGCGGGAGCCACTGGTAAACTGAGGCACGATTGCCGTGCCACCACGGCATGGCACGGCACCACCACGGTATTTGTATGGGCTAGGTCGGCCCATATGTTACGGCCCTATTGGGTCGCAACTGGGTTCTTTCTCTGATGTTATTAGAGTTTGGGTATCCGGCCCCAAGTTAGTACTGGCTTTCAAGGGGTGAGTTCCGTAACGCAAGAAAATTAAAGGGGAAGGGATAAAACTGCACTAAATTAAATATGTAATTATTCCACCACCATAAATAAATATATAAACAGTCACACGCGGGGTTGCTATTACTACACTTATTATTTACAATAACTCGTCTTCCTCCGAAGACACGGGATGTTCCACGGTGTTCAAGATGAGTAGCCCTGGTCCTCCTCTTTGTGGCCTTACGATGAATCCTTAGATTCTCTAGGCGAGTCTACCCCGGCCACAGGCCAGCCAAATCACAGTCCCACTGGGTGCACCGTCGTGGAGGCCTTCAACCACAAATCCAGCCTGTAGCTGGCAGGTTCCAATCAGCTACGCTGCGTAGGCCACTCCACGACCGATACTAGGGTTGCGAGCCCTAGGCAGGAGCCTCGTGCGATTCCACAGATCACTCCTCACCACAACACCCCAGTGGCTAGTCTTCTCCACCAGTCAGCCCCGGGTACGACAATCCCTGGTTCTGCCACCTCACAGGCAGGCTAACACAACAGTGTTCATCCGGGGGGTGACTCACAGCTTCTGCAGCAAATGCGTGGAGATACTTCGGCTGCCTTGGGTAGACTGATCCACCGTCCGATTCAGCAGTCCCAGGTTGACTCTGTAATCAGACACGTCATTAGTACTGGTTACACTCTAGGGCACCTCACTTGCAGGCTTAGACACAAACGTCCACCTATCCACTCCATAGATGGCGTTGCTGTCTAAGCGTCACCTCACCAGAGGTCAGCAGCGGCTACGTTACTAGCTGATCAAGGCGGGAAACCAGCCCCCGTGGCCGGTATATCTCGTCCTCACTAGATGGCGTCGTCCATTTGGAGGGGGTTTCGGGAGCCGACTCACAGATGGCGTGGACGTCACAGCTCCATGCTACGACGCTGGACTCGGGTCCGTAACACCATACGCGTATCAACAAACTCGTTTCCCGAGGCCAAGTTCATAACCCGATTCGAATTTTCCGAAAAAATTGGGCTCGTAACCCGAAAAGTTCATATAGAGGAGCATTCGTAAACCGAGGTGTCACTGTATTTGTATGGTCAGCACAATAACCAGACCAGGCAATGTGATGTAGTCATTGTGCGAATTCCCCTTGGCTATAGACACATCTGGCAGGTTAGTGAGGTTGAGCCACTACCAGAATATTCAGATTGTAAACTGTGATAAACCTTTAATGCATTCACTAGAACACTATACAGTATTGTTGATGTGAAACCGTAAAAGATTTTAGACCTGGCCTATTGTACCACCAACTGTGTAAGTATTTCATTGAATCTGGTGTACTGGATGACATCCTAACAATTTATCCAAAATTTGTTTGTCCATTTTAAAGAATGAAGAACAATTTTATTTATATTAATTTTAAGCTGCATCTGTTAATTAAGAACCCATCCCTACCCTTGTGTGGCAGTGCACAATAGAAAGTTTTTTTTTACTCTCTCTTGAGCTAAATGAAGTGAGACCCAAAACTTCTGAAGACCTGCAGCCAATGGAGAAGAATGGGAAATGAGCATTTAGCAATTGGCATTAGAGACAAAGGTATGGTTACCCAATTGCTACAGGTATATGGAAACTCAAGCAGTGCCTTCCTTTTCTGAAGTGAAGGCACATTGATCAAGACAGGAAGGGCCTTAGGCTTCTCAGTATGAAAGAAACATACCAGGAATTTGCAAAAATTCAAGAACTGAGACCACCCAGACAACTGCATATGAATCTAAGGTTTCATAAATTTGCTTAATGAGAAGCACCCCTAATAATGATGTTTGTCGCAAACACGAAGTAAAGCCAGTCCTGAGCTAACAAGAAGAATGCAGGGAACATAAAGGTGAACTGTAGGTGTAAGATTCCCATCTGAAAACTCATAAAGCTGCAGGTGCTGATTATACTAGTTTATATTTATAAAATAGTGCATTGCCAAAATTTATATTTATGTAATAAAGTCAAATTACTGTATCTCATAAAATTGTGTATTAAAGTTTCTGGGGGGAGCCCCGTCGGCTCCCCGGAGCTTTACCGGCTGATATGCTAATGTCAGACTTTGGCATCAGTCATGTGTATGGAGTTCTAGGGCCTACCGGGGACCACGAGCCAGAACCTGGCCCCCTCAGAGAGGCAAGGGGAGCAATGGCCTATAGAAACCCCCGTGTGGTTGGAAGCATTCTATGTCTGCCATCGACCGGGTCAAGCATCCAGAAAGGTAAGCATTCCAAAACAAACCCTTATTCTGGTGAAAATTGCTACCTAAGCCAAACTAGTGGATAGAACTCTTCAACAGAAAACAAGGAAACTAGTATGACGTCATACGTCACCGCGCCGCTGTCTGCGCAGCTCCCCCCTCCCCAGGAGGGGGAAGGGGGAGCCCCAGACCTCCCACGCCGGCTATCCACCCACCAGTTCTTCGGCTGATGCTATAGGCAATGGTTATGTGCTCCGGCTCCAGTGGTTGTTTCAGCACTGTACCTAGAGTGTGGTGTCTGTTTTCTAGGTGGTGCGTGAGCCGGGAGTGATTCTTCAGTACTCGGGCTGCATGCGCCTAGGGTTCCCTTCCCTAGGTGCCCTGTAAGTACTGCCCTTGGGGCTTGGGGCCACCTTCCACAAGTTCCTTGGGTCCTGCCCCTGCTTGGCCGTTTACTGCTTGGTTTTCGGCCGCTCTTTGTGTGCTCGGGGGTTCTGTCTCCCTTGTTCGCCTTAGAGTAAGGGGCAGTGTTTGCACTGGTGGGGCGCGGGGTACTGTGCAGCTTGTCTTTACCAATCATAGCGGCCGGCTCTGTTCCGCTTGGGTACGCTGTCCTCTTGCGGGGTTTTCTTTTTCTTTTTGTTTATCTACCTGGTGGGGGGGTCTGCCTTTGTTCTTGCCCTTGTGTCCCTTGTGTTCTGAGTATTTTCTGGTGGTGCCCCCTGCTAGGTCCCCGTGAGTGTACACGTCCCGGGGGTTCAGCTCTTAGAAAGTTGTTTGGTAGCTTTGGGTGCCGGTTAGCAGTACCCTGCCTGGGACTACCTGAGCGCGAGTCCTCTTAAAGTAAACGCTCGGGACCCTGGGAAACCCCTGGGGGCGCGCGGGTCCGATGGATGTGACCCCAGAGCCCCCCCCCTCGCTTCCAGCGAGTTTGAGGGTTGCTCTCACCTTTTGTCTCTGGGTGACTCTCTGTTTTGCCTCCGTCTGCTGCCTGTGGGGTCGGTGACACCTTCGACCCGGAGTCCTGCGAGTTGGGTTGCTCGTTGTGGCTCGGTTACCCAGTTGTGCTAACACAGCGGGTGCGGGCAGCAGGGGCGTTGCACTTGAGCCTTGGTGGTGGCAACGTTCTCGTGGTTTCCTCCCCGGGAGCCCCGGGGCTGCCCCGTTGTAGTTCGTTTTGGGACTTGGGGGTGTTGGCTGCTTCGGTTCCATCCACGCCCCCTTGTCTTTTCCCCTGGTTCACCCTGCCTGCATCCGGTTCCTTACGGTCTGTAGGTTCGGGGCGGGGTTTTTGGTGGTGTTGAGACTCGGGCAGTCTCGGGGAATTCCCCTTCCGGGGTAGTGACGGGGGCATTTGGGCCTGTTCCTCCAGCCGTGTTGTATGAGTCTGCCAGTGGGCTCCCTTCCTTAGTGTTTTCACGGCTGCCCCGGTTTTCTGGTACGGCCGGGGCTTTGGGGGAACGGCTCGGCCCCGGGGCCTGTCGTGTAGGTTCCCGGGGCTGGGGAGGGGCTGACTTGGGGGGGCCTTGGCCCCGTTAGACCCCGTGGGGGTTTTTATCCCCCTCTAGGCGGGGCTTGTGGTTACGCGGAGTGGGGTCTTTCCTCCCCACTCGCCGTACGTGCTGTTGGATGTCGGCCCCTCCCCGGGCTCGGTTCCTTGGCCTTTGAGTCGGTTGGTTCCGTCCTGTGGGTGGGTGTTTCCTCCCCCCCCCCCCTTTTTGGGACGGTGTTTTTGTCATGTTTCCCCGTTCGGTGGGGTTCTGCGTGACTTCTGATCTCGGGTGCGCCTGCGCCTTCGTGTGCCTTCGGGACTAGTGTTGGCTTCTGTGTTCTCGAGGGTACGGGAAGGTTTTTCGCTACTTCCCGCATTATTGGAACGTCTGTCGGCTCCTCGTACTTGTCGCTCTGTTGGGCTACTTGTCGCCCTGTTGGGCTACTTGTCGCCCGGTTGGGCTACTTGTCGCCCGGTTGGGCTACTTGTCGCCCGGTTGGGCTACTTGTCGCCCGGTTGGGCTGCTTGTCGCCCGGTTGGGCTGCTTGTCGCCCGGTTGGGCTGCTTGTC